CACTTTCCCAAGTCCTACTATTCAGTGGGCCCATTGACATTATACTTCTATACAGTAGAAGGGACAGATCCTGTATCTGTTATTCACATCTCTAAATATGCTTAGCGGCATACCCAACGCATAACTGTACGTCTACCAGTATTTCTGATAGCATTAGTTATGAATCAAAGCATACGGCCCCACATATCAGAGAATGTAATAACTTCAAGTCTTAGGATAGTTATAGCAAGGTCGATTTGAGAATACTGATAAACACATTACTGTAGATCCATGCAGTATTCTCAAGATGGGTCAATGCAGTCACATATTATCAATATAATATGCACCTACGTACAGATTAAGATATCACAATACCTATAGTCTATGAGACGCAACTATCTCATCTCGTACGTACTAGTCTTGATACGTTATGACGTCCGTATTATCATAAAGTGCGACTAGGGATATTCTAGACATAGCCTTCGTCAAGAAGTAACAGTCTCATAATCAGAACATCGTAGTCCTCATCTATGTTACTGAAGCGCTATCGTCTATGGACTGAAGCTATGTTATGTTACACGAGATATAAAACATACTTCAAGGCCTTTCATTCATGATAAAGTGTACAGTTACATAGATATTTGATTGCCGCTAGGGCACCTAAATGCAACACAGACAAGTGAGAAAAGACTTAGAAATTTATCTATGTCATGAATGAAGGAATACTACCCATTGGCAAGGAAAAATCAGTCTCTTGATTTTCAAACGGCTAGATTGAGGATAACTTCGCTGATTCAAGAACAAATGACAAGAAGACAAAATATGGACTCCCCAAATTGTAACACCATAATTCGTCCATGTCTGCAACCCCTTTCGGACTAAAGTATTAACTTGGTAATCGTAAAAATTTAAAACTTTTCAAACACTTTTATTTATCACAATGATATTTTCATAACATAAACAATACAGAGTATTCAATAATATTGCGGAAGTGAATTTAATATTGACATATCATAAATCATTTCAAAACTTGTTACATCCATCCCGACAATCTCGCCCCATGTGCAACCAGGATCATATTGTTCTTTCTGTCTACTTGTGTGTAGCAAATAAAACACACTACACGATCAGCGGTAAAGCTGAGTAAGCATATCTAACGCGTCGAACACCCATATAAATTGAATCTCAATTCGTAATCAAATCATTTGATATCATGCACATAATGTTCAGTTTAGATATTCAATATTCATCATTCAATATTCAACATTCAACATTATATTCAACATTCAACAATATCCTTAAACTATACTTAGTCTAAGGCCAATTTCGTTAATGTTTACCAACTCTTAAAGTAATTCTAGTTCAAGGTACTTCTAACCAACTCTTAAGGTAGGTCATTAGTTTAAGGTACATATATTCCGGTTAATTTACCAACTCTTAAACTAGCCTTCGCTTAAGGTACAAATTCAGAAAACCGAACAGTAGAATACTAACTGTCGGGTTGGGTGGTATCCCCAAACGAGTTCCTCTAGTTTGGTTTATGTATCCCGTACGTACGTTTTTACACAAGGCCACCGAATATACGTTTTATACCCGTAAGGCCTATTCTACTCAGAGGTCTATCTTAGAGGTCCTCTAAGTAGCCTTAACAATACGATTCATTAATTCATTATTCTCCATTTAACAATTCATGATCGTCATTCAGAATATACATCATCATTAATTTATTATAATCAATAATCAAACAATCATAATATCTAATAACAAATAGCGGCCTAGTATCGAGTGTTAACACTCGAACTTACCGTCATGCATCACATAATGTTTTATATGTCAAAACATCATTTTTATGGTACAAAATCATATTTATATTGTCTATAAATAGTTGCCATCAAAAATAGGATTTCAGAGATCATTTTTAGGAATATTTTCGGAACAGGATCTGAGAAAAATTGATTTTTATTTTTAAAATAATCAATTAATACCTAAAAATAGATTTTTATATTTAAAATAATCCATTAATAGCTAAAAATTGATTTTTATATTTTAAATAATCAATTAACTTTTAAAAATCGATTTTTATATTTTAAATAATCAATTAATTCCTACAAATCAATTTTTATATTTTAAATAATCGATTAATTGCTAAAAATTGATTTTTATATTTATAATAATCAATTAATACTTAAAAATCGATTTTTAATTTTAAACTAATCGATTAATACTCTTTAAATCGATTTTTATATTTAAAATAATCGATTATATACTGACTTCGAACATCTCATCTGAACAAAGTTCTAATCGATTCTTAGGAAGGAAATAATCGATTTTCGGCTACTGTTCATCATCTTGTTCCTCTGGTCAGTTCTGAGTATTATCATTTTTAACCACCAAACTTTAATTAAATTATATAGGAATGTTTTCCAAGGTTCATAGATCATTTTGGAATCATTAATTCATAGTTTTAACATCAATTTCATGGTTTATGATTTTTGGTTCTTCAAACATGTCAAACACAAAACTCAACCAAATGACGATTTATGAACGTAGAAACGACCTATATGAGCATTCTAATCATTAGATATATCTATGAGCTTACCTCGAAGCTTAATGGAGGTTTTGAAATATTTTCCGGCAAAACTTTCGTCAACAATAGCTCTTAACCCCGGTGACCTTACACCAAATTGACAGCACCACTGCGTTCTCCACATTCAAGGCTATCTCTCAGAAGAAATTTGATGAAGAATGGTGAAGAAATGGTAAGCTTTGGTTTCCATTATATAGAAGAAGGGAAGGGGAAGAAGACATGGGATGACATGTTGTTCTCCTGTTTTGGCGTCTCAGTGGAGCAGACGGACGATAACTACGATTCCAAACGCAAGTCCCTGATTGGGACTAAATTGGTCCTAGCCGGGGAACACTTTTTGGTCCAACTTTCTCCGAATTGAAATCCGTTTGCACCGTTGCGATCGTAAAATTAAAATCTATCCAACGATATAATTTTCATATTTATTTGTAATACTTTTTCCGACATCATATTTTTGGGTGTTTGACTTTGACAGGGTCAAGATTGGTTTAATTGACTTTTATCATACAAGGTTCTCATAATTAATTTATTCTCATAGTTTATTTCAAGAATTTATTTCAAAGTTCATATCACAACAATTTCTTCATTTATCTTTGATTTGGGTCTGTACTCAAGTTTCCCAATTAAGGTCACACAATAAGTCAACATATTGGATTTATCTCTATGAGACTTATCCAGATTTTGATATTGGATATCAAAACATATTTTACATTGGCCCAAAGCCCAATAATAATTTATTTTAATCAAAACAAATTTTGTAATTGAATATTTAATTCAATAAATTTTAGGGTATATATTTTAGGGCGTTACATATATATATATATATATATATATATATATATATATATATATATATATATATATATATATATATATATATATATATATATATATATATATATATATATATATATATATATATATATATATATATATATATATATATATATATATATATATATATATATATATATATATATATATATATATATATATATATATATATTTGTCCCGGAAGTGAGCACCAAACTCGGTGTGGTAAGGCCGGGGAACACTTACCTAATTTATTAAATAGAGAAGGGGAATACACGTTCGCTAGGGACTAAAAAAGCCCCGGAAGGTAAAAGGAGGAAAGATAGCCAAATAAAGTACAGAGACAAACTATAGACTAAAAGCTAATGAATCTTCTTCAATTTCCCCCGCGTTGATGAGTCGTCCATCGACTTTGAGGTGAGCTTTGGAGATTGAGCGCCTCCATGTCCTCCTTAGTCGCAAGTTTTTGTGCTCGTTTATTGGACCAAAACCAGCATTGAATCTGTTTTTGAATTGCTATGATAATCCCAAATTTTGTCGTTTTGATATCCTCATACTTGATTTTGTTGTAGGATTTCCACAAATCCTATAGGATGCATCCCAGAAGGATCAGTTTAAGAAGGCCTCTAAGAGTGGTTTTGTTGTGTGAAGTCCACCAATCTAGCAAGTGCGTAGTCAGGTTTGTGCCATCTCCCCTAATAGGACCTCCTGTATATGTGGCAAAGGCATTCCAGATGCTGATTGAAAGATCACAACTAAGTAGGGTGTGTTCATCCGTGTCTTCATGTCTTCCACAAAACACACATTTACTAGGGAGCTGGTAGGAGAGTTTGCATAGAATGTTAGGGAAGGGGAGGAATTGATTAATGACTTTCCAAGTGAAAAGCTTAATCTTGGGGATCTGAAATTTGTTCCAGGCAAGGGTGTTAATCTGAGTGCTTATATCCCTATCTCTGACTGCCCAGTACGCTTCTTTGAAGCTGAACATGCCATTGTCCCAAGTAACTGAGTTGTTAGCTCGAGTTGTATGTTGGAGACCAATTCAGGCAATTCTGCAGATTCTCTTCCAGGAAGCAGAATCATAGATTTTTGCTTCAAAGGAGCCATCTCTATAATATTTCTGTCTAACATAGGTGGCCCAGAGAGATCCAGTAGTGTTAACCTTCCACCAGTGCTGAGGCCTTTTGAATGTCCTCAAGGCTCCTAGTTCCAATACCTCCCTCTCCTGTTGGCTTGCAGATCCTAGTCCACTTAGCCCAATGCCTTTTGTTCTTGCCCATATTGGAGCCCCAAAAGAAGTTAGCCAAGGAAATTTGAATAGAGGTAATAACAGATTTAGGGAGATCCTGAACTGCCATGGTATGCAGTGGGATAGCACTAAGAACATGCTTAATTAGAATAAGCCTGCTCATGGGATTAAGAGTTCTACTATACCAGCTATTGAGATACCCTTCAAAATGGTTGAGAATCTGCTCACAGTGGATTTTTTTGAGTTTCCCAGGAGTAATAGTTGATCCAAGATACTTAAAGGGTGGATTCCCAACCTTGATACCCAATGCCTCTTCCACTCTGTTTTTGTACTGAAGGGTCACTTTTCTGTTGCAGTAGAGATGACTCTTAGACTTGTTGACTTCCTGACCAGAAGCAATGAGATAACTAGAGAGAACATAGTTAAACCTGAGGAGATTTTTAATGTCACCCTTAAGGAAGACAATTAGATCATCTACAAAAGCAAGATGAGAGACCACCTTCTGTTTACCAGCTTTGTAAGGGGATATGAACCCAGTAGAAATAGCATGGTACAGGACTCTACTAAAACCTTCTGAACCAATAATGAAGAGGAGAGGAGAGAGAGGATCCCCTTGCTTCACTCCTCTATTAATTTTGAAGTATCCAGTAGGCTTACCATTAATAAGAATGGAAAGATGGGTAGCTCTCAAATTTTGTAAGAGAAGTGAGGTGGCTTGTTCATTAAAACCAAAGGCTTTAAGAATTGCTTCTAGGTATGTCCAGGACATTTTATCAAATGCCTTAGCCATGTCTAGTTTGACCATGATATTCCCCCCTCTGACTTTGGACTGAAGGTGGAGCATGAGTTCATTGGTCAAGAGGATGTGTTCCTCAATACCCTTGCCTTTCTGGAATCCTGCTTGCTCAGGAGAGATGATTTTTTCTAGTAACCCCGCAAGCCTATTGGATAAGATTCTGGATATCAACTTGCTGAAAAAACTAGACAGGGCAATAGGCCTGTAATGACCAATATTTTTAGCACCTTCTGTCTTGGGAATGAGAGTAATAAAAGTGCTACCAAATGCCTTGGGGATAGGGATGCCTAAAAAGAATTCTTGAATAGCACTAATAAGATCTTCTTTAATGATATCCCAAAAATGTCTAAAAAACTCACCATTATATCCATCCAGGCCTGCAGAGCTGTTGGGATTCAGTTGCCACAGGGCACCCTTGATTTCATCTTCAGAAGGGAATCTTACTAATAATTGGTTATCCACTTCTGTGATAAGATTAGGAATATGTTGAATAATAGGCTGCATATTCCCCCTGTGTTTCTCTGTGAAAGAGTGTTCAAAATGGTTGGCTATGTAGTTGGAGATCTCTGCCTGATCAAACAGTTGTTTGCCATTAGAATCAGTGATAAATTTGATACTGCTTCTTCTTCTTTTTCCTTTGACATAAGAGTGGAAGAATTTTGTGGATGCATCCCCTTGAGCTAGCCATTTAATGTTGGCCTTTTGGGACCAATAACTCTCCTCCTTCTTACAAGCTAGTAATAGTTTAGCATTTGCCAAATTTGCAGCTTCTCTATTAATAGAGTTTTTCTCTTGTTCAAATTTATCCTGGGCTTGAGTTGCTGCTGCTTCTGCTTCTAAAACTTCTTTAAAAATATCTCCAAAGTGATGTGTATTCCAGTCCCTGATTGCCTTTTTCAGAGTCTGAAGTTTGTTCGCCAAGCCTCTCATTCCCCTACCATAATGGACTGTATTCCAGTGAGACCTCACCATCTCATAGAAGCTAGAATCAAGGGTCCAAGCATTGAGAAATCTGAAGGGTTTAGGACCATGATAATCAATCATGTTCCAGTCAAGCAGTAGAGCCTTGTGGTCAGAAGTTGTCCTTCCCAAGTGATAGAGAAAAACTTCTGAGAAAAGGTCTAAGGTTGCTTGGTTGATAAGGATCCTATCAAGTCTGCATAGTACTCTTCCTCTAGATCTGTTACCCATCCAGGTAAAGAGGTTGCCTTTAAGCTCAGGGTCTTGTAGATTACAACTGGAGATGCAGTCTTTGAAGTCATCAATACTATTAGTACAAGGAGTGCCAAAACCCTTATGTTCTGTGAGTGAAAGAATGGTGTTAAAGTCTCCCCCTACTATCCAAGGCAGATCCCTGGGATTGTGATCCAAGAGAGCATCCTAGAGGTCCAGTCTATCCTTTCTGCTATGTTTACCATATACTGAGCTAATAAAAACCATAGTATCAGTAATGATGTTGTGAAAGAGGCAAGTAATGACTTGAGCTATCTCCTGAACTTGAATAAGAGATAGAGTGTCTGTGTCCCACATAATCCAGCACTTATTGTTAAGTGCTGAAAATCCTTTATTGAATCCAAGTTTAAGGCAGTAAGTATTAATCTGCTTACTTTCAACAATAGGTTCCAAAATAGAAAGGAAGGGAAAGTTATGTTTTTTTTAAGATGATAAGTCTGGATAAGGAAGACTTAACACCACACACATTCCAAAACATAACTTTCATTTGGAATTAAGGGAATTGTGAATCAAAGTGGCTGACCTCAGCCTAGATTTGATAGATGTTTGATTGTGTTGTGTAATTTCAACTGCAGGAACCTCAATGGTGTTGGTTGGCAAATCCTGAACTACCCCCAAGTCTTCAAAATCTGAGTCCTCATCTAATGATGAAAGAGGGGAGAATCTGGATTTTGAGATCAAAGGAAGTGGCTTCCAGAGGACCAGAGAAAGGTCTGCATTTATGACTGGAAGTGGGCCTGGGTCTGCTGTAATTAGGCCATCAGGAATATTAGCAGGGCCAGACCCCAAATTGGTTGAGTCCAAAATAGTCCCATATGACCCCAATAAACTTGTGTCAGGCCCCAGAACCTCAGCATTTAATGTTTGGATTTCTAGTTGCTTGGAATTCCTCTCTGGCTTGGAGCTTTCACCCGGGCCAGACAATAGGGCAGTCCTTTTTCTCCATTCAAGCATGAGGCCCTTTTTTTTGGACTTCACCTTTGTCCATGTCTCTTTTTGAACCGGTTCACTTTCCTTACATGTGGCCTGTTTTTTCCCATTTCCAAGAACCGGTTCTTCTTCCCCATTTTGGAGATGAAGGTTTCTGCAACTAGACTGAGAATGACCCAATTTCTTACAGTATGAGCAATACAGAGGGAAGTTCTCAAAAATGAAGGGATAGAAAACATCTTTATTGCCAAGTTTGACATGAACCCTTGAGGGTGGTGGTAGTGAGACATCAATTTCAACACAGAATCTCGCCAAATCTGGACGAGAGAAATTGAGTGTGTTCTCATCTACCTTAAGAGGTTTACCAATGGAAGAAGCAATTAAGGACAGGGCCCTTTTGTCGTGCAGAAAGATGGGAAGTTTAGGACAAGAAACCCAAAATGGAACCACTAGACAGTCAGCTCCTTCCTCATAATCTGGTGTCCATTTAGTGACCACCATGGTTTGATTCCCAACCTTCCAGGTTTGTCTGAGGAATACCCTTTGGTAATCTTCATCTTGATGAAAGTTCATCAAGACTTGATTGGTGGAGAGTTTCCCCAGCGAGTAAGAACCCACCAGTCCAAGTCTTTGCAAGAAGGCATTCATAATAGAGTAGGGGGGTCGCTTGAAGAACGTACCAATAAGAGCAAAGGAAAATCTCTTGGAAAGTTGTTGGATGTCTTCCTTTGAGAAACTGACCGAAGGACACCCTTTGAATGAACCGTGTGCTTGAACTTGAAGCCTCTCTTCTTCCGGAGTAGATGAGAGAACCTCAGAAAAGAGCTTTTTCCAGCCAAGTTCCCTGCCGCCGTCATTCTCTCTCTCTCTCTAGACATATATATGTATGTGTGTGTGTGTGTGTGTGTGTGTGTGTATACACACACACACACACACATATATATATATATATATTGCAAATGTTCACTGGCAAAGGACTGCTTTCAAAAACCTCTAGAATTTGGCATACAACAAGGAGTTCAAGAGAAAGTGAATGAAAAAGAAAAACAACACAAAAAAGCAAGATAGTAGTCTAGTATAATCGCAATTCAAAAGCTTTAGACCTAGCACAAATACCACATTTCACATGCCAGTGAACGCCTTCTTTCCACCACTAGCGGAGCCAGCAGGAATCACCTTCAACACATTGAACCTCACAGTCTTGGATAACGGCCTGCATTGACCAATGATAATGTGGTCTCCCTCTTTCACACGGAAGCAAGGTGAGATGTGTGCAGCAATGTTCGAATGCCGCTTTTCGTACCTCTGGTATTTCTTCACAAAGTGAAGGTAGTTGCGACGAACAATGATTGTTCTATTCATCTTTGCACTGTGGCAAGTGCCAGCAAGGATGCGACCTCTGATGGAATCATTGCCAGTGAAGGGACATTTGCTATCAATGTATGTTCCTTCAATAGCCTCACGAGGAGTCTTAAACCCCAAACCAATGCTCTTCCAGAAACGATTGCCTCCCTTTCCACATAAGTTCTTATTCCTATTTTTTCACTTTTTATAGCCCTTAGACATTTTAAAGCACCACATAAGTTCTTATTCCTATTTTACATCGCTGTTCCAGAAGTTTCTGGAAATCCAACCTTGGCTCTTCAGCGATGTCTAGAGTGCAACATCGCTGTTGGAAGACTTAACGCCAAACTATGGTTTTCAGCTACTCAAGCCAGACATCGCTGTTGGGTGCACCAACATCGCTGTTGGGCTGGTTTAGCCAGACCCATGGTTGGTTTAGTCATGCCGTTAGCCGATGTCAAAAACGTAAGTTCTCCAAAATAAAAACTAAGTGTTGAAAACATTTTTTTATTGCATTTTGCTAAGAAATCAAGTAAAACAACTCAAAAACCACGTCATTTAGTTGAAAACCACGGCTAACCAAGTTTGTGTCGTTTTGCATGGTTTTCACTAAGCGACCATAAACGGAAGGTGGTTTTTGAAGCGTTTTTGTTGGAGAACTGTTTAAATATGCCCAGAAGTAAAAACCAATCATAAAAAGTTAAAAAAAACTTGGTTGGTTCGGATGCCCAAAAACGAATGTCAAAAACCAAAAGCCGAACGCCAGTTTCTGAAAGCCGAACGCCGGATGACTTGGTTTTTGGTTTGGGCGAACTCCAAGTGTTTTTAGCCAGGTTTAAAAACTTATGAAAAACATTTTTGAATTTGCAAAAAGGGTTTTTATGAATTGAGCCTAGAGAGCCAAGATTTGGAAGTTTGTGCCGGTCTTGATCACATTAAGACCGACTCGATGCAATTCTAATTCTTTGTTCTTGATTCTTGGTTGTTGGTTCACATGTCATCATGCCGTGTTTCTTCGCCTTGGTTTTGCTCACTTTAGCCTTGTTGTGTCACGGCGGTTTGGCATTATCAAAACCTGTCATAAAAACGAACACAGTTTAGTACGACGTAGGCATAAACCCGTGTTCCAACAATTTCCCCCTTTTTGATAATGGCAAACAAGACGAGGATATGCATATTAAGGGACATTTGATTTTCAAAAAGTTGTGAAAAAGTTCCCCCTTAATTTGTGCTTAAAAGAAATTAGTCGGATTAAAATCAAACGTTCTCGTTTTTAGAGGCGTTCCTTCTTAGTATATGCATAGCCCTTTTCTTCCCCCTTTTGACATTAACAAAAAGATAAAAGATAACTTTTATTTATTGAAGATGGGAAATAGCAGAGTACAACGGAAGCATTAAGAAACATGATAATTAAAATAAAAGAGAGAAATTCTAGGGGCGTCCTAGTCTTCGTCTTCGGTTTCCTCCTCGTCGTCGTCGTCGTCCATCTCATCACCGTCAATGGCGTCGTCGAACTCATCCTCGTCCGAGGAGCTTGACGGGGCGTAGGCGCCATCCTGTTCGTCCTCGTCTCCATACACTTGCCCAAGGAACGTGCCTTGGTACGGTGGGGGACGTAGTTGACGCGTTGGAAGTATGCGTTCATGGCGTGCCCTTGGCGTTGAACAGCCTCGTCGAGCCGCTCAAGGTAGCCATCCATCCCGTCAACTTTGAAGTGAAGCCGGTTGAGGGAGTCGGCAAGGAGGCAAGGTTGGCCTGAGCTTGGTGTTCGGCTGGGCCAGCAGCAGAACGCCGCCGTGGCACGGTAGTGGCAGGTCCGGCGTTGTCCGACCGCTTCTTGAAGGTTTGGGTGCTGATCGCCCAAATCTTCGTGGCCTTCGTGAGTGGGCCAACGGTGGTGGTCACCTTGAACCGTTCAAGGATGTCCATCACCACGAACGGGTACAGGAGGAGGTGATCGTGGTCGGTGGACGCGGCAATCGTCATGTTGATCATGACAAACATTGCCCAATTGATTGGGGTCGAGTGCATGATCGCATGAACGAGACGGCCTTCGGGGTTAGCGGAGTGGATGGTGGGGTGGCCCGAAGCATGGCGGATGAGCTTGGTGATGCCAAGCTCGTTGAGGATAAGGCCCTCGTTGTTGAGCACCCAGTCCTCTCCGCCATAGTGGGAGACGTCGTCACCTTGGTAGGGGAGGCCAGCGATGCGCCCAAGCTGCTCAACGGAAAGCTCTATCGGCGTGCTCTTGACAAGAGAGTAGAGCACGTCGCCCTCACGCCGGAGGTTGGAGTAGAAGACCCGAATCAGCGCCGGGTTAATCTCCTTCCGAGCCCGGGAGACGAATGGCCAAAGGCCGGCTTGATGAAGCTGCGCGTCGAGGTCGTCGTAGCCCTGCAGCTCCGGGTAGCGCTCCGGGATGATCCGTGGAGGAGCCACGACCCGTTTAGAGAAGAAAGTGAGAAAGCGGGTGCGCTCCTCCTCGGAATCGAACCAGAGGTACGATCCGTCGCCATAGTAGAGGCGTTCCTCGGTGGATGTCGTAGGCGCCCGGGATTTGGACTTTGATTTCCCGGAGGGGGCAGCCTTGCTCTTTTCCTTGCCCATGAAAAAAACTCAAAAGAGAGGAGTAGAGATGATGAAATAAGCAAAGATGTTGAAGAGAATTGAGTTTGTGTGTGTAAAAGTGAAGATAGGGGGTCCCAATTTATAGAAAAAGAGGTCTCCAACGGCCAGGTTTTCAAAAATATGGCTGTTGGATCAATAAATGCTGGTGCCAACGGATATTTTTTATTGAAAAATTTATCAAGAACAACGATGTTCCAGAGGCTACATCGCTGTTGGGACAGCGCTGTTGAGCCTCTCGACAGCGCTCTTGTGCGTCAAGTTTTAAAAACAAGTGTTAAATGGACAGCGATGTTGGGTACCCTACAGCGAGGTTCCCAAAGTTTCTGGAAATATGTAAGGGGTTGAACCCATTAGAACAGCGTTGTTGGGTTTCCCTACATCGCTGTTTTACGATAGAGAAAAAAAATGGACATCGATGTTGAAAGTGGGACATCGGTGTTTGAAAAGTTTCTGGTTTTGGTTGAAAAACAAGGTGTTTTGGGTAGACAACGATGGTTTTAAAGAAGGAACATCGATGTTCAAAAAGTTTCTAGAAAGTGAAGAGTAAGGGACTCCCTGGGACAACGCTGTTGGCGTGTTGTACAGCGCTGTTGGCACAAACTGGTTGACGGTGTTACTCTCAACAGCGCTGTTTGCATGGTTCCCCCTGATTTTATGAACGGGGTACCTGCAAAAAAGAAAAAAAGTTCTCCGACGCTCAAGTTAGTAAACGTTTAACAAGTTTAGATGCACAACTTAGATCATCGTGGAGTCAAGGATTCTGAGTTCACTTCGAATGCGGAAGAACGACTCTTTCTCTAAAGGTTTTGTGAAAATGTCGGCTAATTGGTTGTGTGTTTCAACAAACTCAATTTCGACATCACCTTTGAGAACATGATCTCTAATGAAATGATGCCTAATGTCAATGTGTTTCGTCCTTGAATGAAGAACGAGGTTCTTCGTCAAGCTTATGGCGTTAGTATTATCACAACGAAGAGGAACGTGATTGATACTAAGGCCATAGTCCACGAGTTGTTGCTTCATCCAAAGGATTTGAGCACAACAACTACCGGCGGCTACATATTCCGCTTCGGTTGTGGATAATGCAACACTGACTTGTTTCTTACTAAACCATGAGACTAGAGAGCTACCAAGTAAGTGGCAAGTCCCACTTGTGCTTTTACGGTCCAATTTGCAACCGGCAAAGTCCGATTTGGAATAACCAGCGAGATGACACGAAGAGCCTTTTGGATACCACAGTCCAACGTTAACCGTGCCAACAAGGTATATCATGATCCGTTTCACCGCTGTTAAGTGCGATTCCTTCGGACATGATTGATACCTTGCGCAAAGGCATATGCTAAACATGATATCTGGCCTACTAGCGGTAAGATAGAGAAGGGATCCGATCATACCTCGATACTTTTTGACTTCTACTTCCTTACCTTTCTCGTCTTTGTCTAGATGGTCGGACGTGCTCATCAGGGTCGCCATGGCTTTGGTGTTGTCCATTTCAAACCGTTTTAGGAGCTCCTTGCAATATTTAGTTTGACAAATGAACGTGCCATCATTCATTTGCTTGACTTGGAGTCCCAAAAAGAATGTGAGCTCACCCATCATCGACATTTCGAACTCGCTTGTCATTAACGTTGAGAATTCTTTGCACAAAGACTCGTTAGTAGCACCGAATATAATATCGTCTACATAAACTT